ATATATATATATATATATATATATATATATGGCATCGACATGCACTTGAGGGAATGAGATCAGCGACAGAACGTGTAAGGGCCTGTTGCACGCCATAAGCCCGCCTAAACGTGATGGCACTACAATGGGCACCGGCAACAGGGACTCTTTTAGCCGATACGATACGGTTACCACTCAGTTCCCTTAAGTTTGAGTATATTGCCACACTTCCTGCAGTATGACAGCAAGCAAGTGTCACTGAGGGCTGTCCATTAGCACAATGTCACGCAGGGTAACGAATGACCGAGCAGCGTTGAACCAACCATTAGGAAAACAAATTCGGGCAAATACTACTAAGAAAATGGAACGAAATGGAAGGACGTTGTGCCAGTTAATTAAAAGAGGATGATGGGAACACAGAAGAAACCGTTCAGATGTAACACCCTTTCGGTGCCTAACTGTCATACCAGCAGAAGGAAGCACGAGGGCTGGGATAATGCCAGCCTAGATAGAGGAAGTCCAGAGGCAGAGGTCGGGTTCGAACTACGGACCTTCAGTTCAGTAAATTCGCGCTCTAACCACTGGCTAACCTCGCCCAATCTTTTTGTCGCTGCATGTTTTTATCCATGCTTTAATTAGGGGAAAACAACGAGAAACACATGCCCTCCATTGGGCTCTAAATTTTGTTACATCGCATAACTTCTTCGACCATAAGCATTCACTATCGCTTGATCTCCCAACCTACAAACCGGCATCAACCAATCGCAGAGAAGCCCGTAATTAAAACCCTTATTTGCTACCGCCACTTTATAGGCTGACAATCTCGTATTTACTCGAACTACCAACCATGAATAGTGAGGCACTCGATCGCTCCACATAGGCGGAGGATGCCTTGGCCTCCTTAAACGGAAAGCTGAAACGGAGCTATTTGGATCCAGGGTGTATTGGGTAACCTCTTCGTTACTTGCGCAATGTCGGATGCAAGAAAAATCGCGTAAACATCGGCTTTAAAAGACACTCGTTTATTCTTGATAATGGATCGAACAGGTCAAGTTTCACACATATTCAACACCGAGTGCACAGTTGCGTTGTATACACATGTCTTCAATAAAAACCTCACACCGCCTTAACCTTGAACATGCGCTATGCAGCCTCATCTCCGACAGTGACGGCTTCCGGGGTACACGAAATTGTCGTTCACCCATAGTTTATCGACCGCCGCCACGGTGATAGCAGATGTTCACCAATGTGTTACGGACTGAACGAGTATGATCATTCGCGGCGTGAGAACACATACACAAATCCATAGCTATGATGCGACCCAAAAAACCTCGCGCAGAAAGAACCAGACCTTCGAAGGGAAGACTTTATTGTCCCAACCAAACGTAGTTGGCAACGGGAACAACTATANGCACACGCAAAGTGCAAGTAGCCAAAAAAAGAGCGGTCTTTTTAGAAAAATGCTCAAGATGGCGGAAGCGTCACGAAAAATTCGAAAATTCAAACTGTTAAAGTACAATTCTGGCGACGAAAGAACGGTTTTCTGGGATAGTGATATTCATATTCACATAGCACGTTACGCTTCGATGGTGCAGAACGCATGCCCAAAGAGCAACCTGGAACCCTAGCCTAACATATTTTGGAATGAGCCGGAGTTATCACCAAACTATTGCCGTGAATCCTAGATCCGTAATGAAAGAAGGTCAACACCATAGGAACCATCGTTTAGAAGGAAACCACCGGCAGCGGTCGAAAAGGGACGGGGAAAGATGGTTACCTTGTCATACACCAGTGAGGCTAGGAAATGGTTATGACCATCTATAGGCTCCAACTTTATAGTGTATTCGTTTGTCTAACGCTCTAGGTACAGCGGCGCACTCCCCTGGAACCCTCGTCGTCATCATCATCACCAGAAGCAAAAAGCGTAGTCACGTTGATGATCCACTCCAAAAAATCATTCAGCTGTGGCACTCTTTCGGTGCCTAACCACCATGCCACCCGAAGGAAGCACGAGAGCTGGGATACTGCCAAGTTGCCCAAGCCTAGACAGGGGAAGTCGAGAGGTAGAGGTCGGGTTCAAACCACGGACCTTCCGGCCAGTAAATTTCCGCTCCAACCACTGAGTCATCTCGCCCCATGCTACACTGCCGTAGAATCACAAAGCTTAGCTGACTATATTTACGGCATTTGAGTGAAAGAACAGAAAACAGTAAATGAGGAGGGACCTGGTGCAAGCCTACCCACCAGCGTTCCGAGGTTCCTACAACCACAGAGGCCGAGTCAAACAATCTGGCATCGACTATCTGTCATTTCTTGCAATTTCTCCATCCAGGTGCATTTACCGTATCCTAGGTGGACCGCGTCTAGACTACTCATAGACTGCTGTTCCGAAGGAGGCACTCAGCTCGGCAGACAATGCTTCGGCATGCGCAGCACATAACCAAACTAGGGCGATTGATGGTGCTGCATGTTCTCCTCGATTAAAGTACCTGAAAAAACCCGTTTTCCAAATACCTGGCCACGAATTTATCGACGTCATCCGGTGTCAACAGCGGTTCTTAAAATTCGATGGTGACAAAACTAAAGACGCCTCACATAATTTGTTTGCAGAGGCCACGTCTCACAACCATACAAAAATACAGTGATTATTGTAGCCTGGTACACTGGTTGTGCTTGACCTTCGTCTTCAAACGTCGTCGGCGTACAGCAGCAACGTTCTGAAAACCAGAGTTCGGCTCATTAGTTACACGATGGCGAAGATGAACAGGAGTGGAGAGAGTCGACAACCATGCTTATCTGGAAACTTCCAGAGAGCTCACCACACACACATGCCCGAAAATATGTGAAGATAAGGACTAGGTTGAAGCTACAAACTTCTGGGGTATCTCCTTTTGAGCACTGACCAATCGACAATCAAAAGTATCCTTGAAATCAAGGATCACAAAGGCTATAGGTCGCTTAAGCAGCTGACAGGGCATGAAAATCTGGTCGCATCTGCCCGGTCGGAATCCAATTTGATGCTCACCGGCCAAGATCTCGCGTGTCGTCGTAAGAAAACGAAGAATCAATGACCCCACTACATACTTAAAACGCAAGCAAATTGACGTCCTTGTGGTTCATGAGTTAACTGCGAAGACGTACACTATTGTCTACTCACAGGTATTAGCTGGGGAATTCACAGCCGTCCCTGAATAGAGCAGGTAGACGTCGGGAACAGGAGCACGATGACAATTGAGTGAGGACACACAACAGCTCACTTCTGATGCTGAAGGCGGCTCATTATTCACAGCCCACATTTCCGTTGAAGAAAACAGGCGAGATTGGGGTTGGCAGGTGGTCAAGTGAATTATTTTTCGAAGCTGCCTAAGCCCAGAGAGGGGCAGTCGAGAAGCGGTGGTTAGGTTAGCACCACGGACCTCACAGTCCGTAACTCAGCGTCCTAACCACTCAGCTATCTCGAACTCGTAGAACATGAAGGTGACTTGTCATCCGAATTTCGGCCGTGTGACATACCCCCTCCTTGTTTGCAGAAAGGAGCTCTGCGAGGCGGACGGTATGTGGGGTACGTGTCCTAACCAGTGTAACCTATGAAGTGTGAGTAATTCATCTATCGCGGGAGAGTTTCTTCTTCCTGACACCGCCTGGAGTACCTCAGCATTACAAATTCGATGTTCCAACCACAGACCCGACCAATGCTTCGAAGACACCGATGGTCAAACGCTGACATCTATCGTATGTTCCCTGCGCGTAGAGGCCATGTATCTGGTCCATAAAGCAGTATAGATCGCACCGCCGCAGTGTGAAATCTGACCTTGACAGACAAACTGACATCACATCGGCGCCATATCGGCCCTAGCTTTCCCGATTCTCCAACCAGTCCATCGGAATCTACACAGCTGCCCAGGTAAATAGATTTATCTACCATATCGATCGGCTCGTCTGCTAACGTTCAGTTGTAGCACCCTTCCGGTGGCCAGATGCTACGCCAACAGAAAGAAGCACAAGGGCTGCGATACAGCCAGGTTGCCCAAGCCTAGGCGATCAATCCTGCAAGCCTGAGTTTCGGGTCTGATCCAACCCAGTCTTCCAGCCACAGTTTACAATTTGCAGGTGGGAAGCGAATGCCAAGACATGCAGCAGAGTTATTAAGGTTATTTGAAATCGTTTGCTTTCGGAAAGATCTGAACCAAGGATAGCAATGTCGTCCACATACTCAATGTCTGTGGGGGAACGTCCCGGGAGCATTTCAACTCCCGAGGTTGTAGAGGCAGGTAGAAAATTCTCAAGCAGCATATCAACAAGATTGAAAAGGAAAGGTGAGAGAGGTCTTACACCACTGGACGTTGTGAACTCATGAGCAAGCTTGCTGTATACTTGTGCGCGCCCATAGCAGTTCGCATGCAGTCCCCATAAAGGATATAAATTTGGAAGGGACATCTTTGGCCGTCAGATACCACCAAAGTTCCAGACGGTCGACAGAATCAAAAGCCGCTTTCAGATCAAGAAAAACGAGCAACATGGGAGGTTTGAAGGATTGGTGTTTCAAAGATATGGTTCATGCATCCTCGGCCAATGAGAAACCCAGCTTAGTTCTTACGAATATCTCTGTCAATAATCCATCAACCCGCGCAAAATAAGGTCAGAGAGCACTTTAGATGTGACAGATACCAGGCTGATAACACGATGGTTTTCGCATGAAGTTCTCGTGCTCTTTTTGAAAACTAGGACAATGGTCAAGGAGCTACATTCGGTCGGTATTGTTTTCGTTCCAAATATTCTGCAATATGATTGTCAGACTGTTCACCAGAACCTCTCCACCTTTGAAGAGTGCGCGGTGCAAATCATCCGTGCCAGGTGCCTTGCCGCAATTGAGGATTGATATCTCACACTGAGTTTCGGCTGCTAATGACGGGATGGTATCAGTGTTCTAGTCGGTCTAGCGGGTTTCTCCCAGTGGTTTTATTGAAGGAGACCAAACGAACTGTGCTTTGAAGTACTCAGCCCACCACTGAAGACGATGATTGATGGGGTGAACTGCCGTTCCGTCTTCTTTGCATACTGTTCCACTGACATCTGCTTCCCTTTGACCAGTTGATAGAATCAGTTGAAACAGGGTGCGGCTGTTGCCTGCGGCGAAAGCGTCTTCCATTTCCTGGGCGTTCACAAACCACTAGCGTTCCGTCATTCCTGAAGCTCCTGGTTATCCAGTGTTTGAGGGATCTGTGCACCATCACAGTCGCTAGTTACTGGTATGGGCCTTTCTGGACGAACTGAGATCTGCTGACCTTGACGATATCCAACGTTCATTTGGTCGAGTCAGATGGACTGGATGAAAAGTTCTGGAAGCTGGAAGCATGGATTCTTTAACCTGCTTCCATTCAACCTCCAAGCAGTCTTCGTCATCCACGTGACTGTGCGTTTCCGGTAGCTTTCTGGCCAGATCAGCTAGATACTCCTCAGACACTGAAATTTTCCGAAGTCGATGAAAGACGCTGATTTCCTCTGGCAAACGCAACGCTGAAGGGAAGCGAAGTGCCAACCGGGTCCGCACGATAGCATGATCAGAGTCAAACTGCACACGTCCGACGGAACCACAGTCCTTAACTGAGGTTCTCCACCGGCAACTGACAACCACATGGTCCGATTGAGTACACGACTGTCCTGTGGTAGGTGGCGTCCAGCTAACGCGATGTGAGCGTTTTTTAAAGTTCGTACTGGCCAGGAACCGACAATCAGCACACAACTGAAGCAATCACTTCCCATTATCCGTACGCTCAGCATCGACTCCGAATTTACCGCCTAACTCTGCTTCTTCAGGGCTTATTCGTCCAGACTGGGCATTCATATCACTATGAGGATCACATCCGGTCGAATTAATCATGACAGATCCTGATAAAAACCTGTCTTTCTCAGTCTAAGAACTGCAGTCTGTTGGAGTGCCTGCTGATAAGGCTAATAAACACCGTATATCGCACCGACCTCCACTGACCTTAGTTGAGCCAGACAACTGCAGAGCGCAAAGACGACTGTTTACTGGGATCCGGTCCAGCAAGGCACTTTCAGCCTTGGGGCTGAGTGCAACTTCCCTACCGTAGATACCACGAGCCGCTGCGTCAGGATCACCGGATACACGAGGATTGGAATGTGGAACATCGGAGCTCATCCTAGGCGGCTTGAGGTGCATGACCGAAATCGGGTCTTGTATGCGTGTTTCGGAGACACAACATACATCGACAGCTAAGGAGAGCAAGGTTTCAGCAAGAATGCTTACTGCCCAATTCGACATAGAGTACGAACGCCAAAGGCTGCACTGGCGGTCACAGTCAACCTTCGGGTGATCGGGCTTTAGGGCCCACCTTCTCCAACCTGTTGTTCTCCGGAGAAGGCAGCATCGGATCTTCCATGAATATGGACATGCTAGTCGTGTGAAGGAAACACCATGCTGCCGTCACACTCCTATGCCAGATTTCACTTCTGGACTGTCTCATCGGGCTACTCTCCACTGGCTTTTTTGCAAAGGTCGAACGTTAAGTAACTGGGTTCTAGCCAGTGTAGCCAGCTAGCTAAAAGGTGCGCATTAGGAAATGAACTCACTTACCACAAGGTTCGTGGTTTGAACACAACCGCTGCATCTTGACTGCTTCTGTCTAAGTTTGGACAACCTGACATTACCTCGGTCGTCGTACTTCTTAGGGGTAACAAGATATCTGACAACCGTAAGTGTTACTGCTGAATGAGTGTAACCCGCACTGAAGTCGAGCACTACGACAAGGTGACAAGTTTAAGTCGAGGGAATGAAAGTCGACGAATGGAATGTTTTCGTTACACCAGGAATCGGGTAACAATCACGTTCGTACTCCCACCGATAAGTCGCTATCTCTAGGAGCTAGGGAGTGGACGCCTAAGCCTGATGCCTTGCGTAGGTTAGGGCTCACGATCCGTGGCCTGATCCTTGATTCTATGGGAATGGAGCAAGAGTGAATGCAATCAGTAGTACAGAGTCTTCAGACAGCATCGCCATCATCATCATCATCACCACCATTGACAGAGACATCCGCAGTAGATACTGGTGTAAAACTATCATGAATGCCATACAGCGGTTAGGGAAGAGCCTAAGTGAGGAGTGGAAAAGAAAGCGTAATGAATTAATGCAAAGAACTGCTATCTTTCTAGGGGAGAATATCAGCAATGTGCCTTCACCTTTGGACAGTACTAAAATACGAGCTTCACGTCGAAGTAACGCACTATAAGCGGGATCGACCCTTTGTAACTTCATCAAACATGAGCTTAACGAATAACGAGAGGCGAACCTTAGCTAGGTAGTCCGGTTACAAAATCATACTAAGTGTGATATTGAGATCGGTTGCATACCACCGCGCCTTACAGGGTTTCCAACTGCCTACTAAGAGGACCACCTGCATCCCAGCCAGGAAGGCGCGAAGAACTTACGGCGCTCAGTTGAATTGTGGTCGCTTTCAGTTAACGTTACCATATAACGGCCTGCTCCCCGCGAAACTTCCGCCAACGGCTTCAAGAGAAAAACACCACTTTCTTGGGTAGACGGTGGTTGGGCATACGTAGTACACTTCCCCCAACCAATTCAACCAACTAAGTTTCGTTACTATGTTCCTGATTAAGAATCACGGGTTAGGGGCTTCAGACATCTTACTTCTGCCATACGACGGAGAAACCGGTGACCAAACACTTGAAGACGCCTGAGGTTCTCGAACCGGAGGGGCTAATTTTCACAACCATAGAGTGAAACCATTCGTAAAGTGGCATAAAAGGTTCTCTAGCTGTGTGAGATTCGTTTCTGACGCCATAAGTGATGCCAGATGGCGAACACAGCTGGCGGCTTGCTTATCCGCGCATTTAATTTACCTATTATAGTGCAATCATGGCATATACAGCTGCCTAGATATGTCAACGGATTACCAAACTCTTCACTTGGGAGTCTCAAAAAAGCACAAAGAGGCGGGACACCTTGAAGACACAAAACACATGCCCGTAAGATCACGTCTGATACTCTGATTGGAGTATTTTGCTCTAATAAACGATGCCCACATAGCCCAAGTCCATTAATTCCTCTCCAGGAGTGACTTTGATACCGAGATTCACGGTCCCGTGATGTGTGTACTGCATGATGACGTCGACGGCAAAATTGAACGAACAAGGGGGATCGGAAAGCCCCGACGAACCCCACTGATTACAAGGAGGATTTCAAACATTCGTCGTACACCTTACTGCGACCAGAGGCATGAATGTACACAGCACGAAGAGTGCTTACGAACTTCCAATGTATCCGTGAGGCCAGGGATAGCGCTATGGTCAAGGCGCAAACTTACTGTCCACGTCTGTGGTTCAATTTAAACCACAGCATCTCGACTGTTGCCGTTTAGGTTTGGGCAAATTGGGAGTATCTCAGTCCTCTAGCTGTCTTCGAGTGGCATCATAGCTAGCCACTGAAAGGGTGTTACAGTTGAACGAATTCTCAAGGCACAAAAAAGCGGGTTGAATGAAAGACATGAGCAAAAGAGGAAAGGCCAATTAAACTGCCCTCTTGTGGAATGAAATTTCTAATATATTCCTTGATTAACGTGATCACCCAAAGCCGTTAAGACCCTCTTTTGCGGATTAGCTGGATCAGCTTCCGTGTATTCCCAGTCGTACTGGCCTCTTCCACTTCTTGGATCACCATGCCTACCTGTTCACACATTCAAAATCGATGAACTTATTGGGCCATCGTCACTGGTGCGTGACTCTCATTTCTTTGTTCTCTTCATCGTCGGTGAGCGAAGCTATAGCAGATGGGACAACTGTACTTCGAAGCGCGGTTTGTGATTTGAAAAACTGAACTGAACAGAGGCTATGTTTGGGCTGTTGTCTAATCGATCGTCTCACAGACTTGTACTGCGAAACAGAAGGAAGAGAACATCTCGCACCAAGATGCGATAGTGACCGTTCTGAGATCCCGTGGACGCCTTGCATGCGCTCGCAGAGTTGCCGGCGTCACAAATAGCCATGGTTGCATAATTTCAGTTACTGTCAATGTCCTTCGAGAAGTGTGGATCGCAAAGCTTCTCTACCGCTAAATGGAGGGCTCGTTTCTGGGGTTTAACCGGAAAGTTTGATGAAAATGTACGAGATCGATGAAGTGACCAAAGGCATTATCTGAATAGACTTGTGCATTCCAGAACGAGCGGTAATCAAGGAGTAAACAGCGTCATTGGTTGATGATGGCGATGAGATCAATCTGGCCCGAAGGCTACTCCACGGAAGAGGAACGCCAGGTAGTACAACGGAGCGTGTGGACCCAGTAACAATGGGCAAAAATTTGCAGAAGATATGACCATTACCATTGGGTAATGCATCCGGATTGCACACACCAACGTGTGTTTCTCTTGAGCTATGTAAATTGAAGTCTCCTATTACGACATCCAAGCTCTTTGCAGTGGATACAAAGGTGGTCAGTCCTCGACACAAGGTGTCCTCCAACTGACGCATGGATAGCATGATAATCAAAGAGCATTCAGTAGTTCGATCAGCGTGTTTTAATCAGAGTGCAAAGTCGGACGGTATAAAAATAGCCATTTATAAGATATCCAGTCGAAAAATGAAGCCTCAGCTCGTAAACTTAAGACTACATCAACATCAGCGCAACCTGATGCAGCAACTTCGGCATCAATTGGAGCTGTCTGTATCCCCTAGATAAAAAGATGCTTTGATCCAGTTTCAGAGTTACAAAAGACATCAACCGACAGAGTATCTAGAGTACGCGCAGGAGCAACCTGTTGGATGGTGTGTCTAGAAATTCTGCTGAAGGCTGCAATGCAGACATCGAGGCCTAACTAGCGAATGCAGAGCGATAAGTCTGCGTGGTGGTGTACAGTGTTCCTGCACTAATACCTGCAACTGAATATCAAGGTGAATGCATGTGATGCTATAGTTAGCGGTCTGGCGTACTCTTTCATGCGTTAAAAACTCCTAGCACAGAGCAAACTCACTCTGGACCAAACATATCAGCTGGCTAGATCCCTCGAATTGGCTCACAAACAGTCGCAATCATATGTTAGTGAGGAACCTATATCTTGCTCTACGATTCCGCCAATCTCACAGAATCCGAACAACATTTCGATCCGAACACTGCTTCTATAGGAACTTTTCAAACACGCTATTTGCGGTTATGATTGTCATCCTCGTTCAAAGTGCTTCGCTCGAGAAGCCGTTTGTAATCTTTGCATCATCATCCCCATCATCGTTATCATCATCATTGACAGCGGCAAACGCGATCACTTCCTCCACGTATGCCGAGCTCCATACAAACTGCACAATGAAGCCCACTTTATCTTCGTCGTTCGCTGCGGGAGCACCTACTTGTCTGATGTGTGCAATCAAAACTGTCGAAGTCAATGGCATCGCTCTCCACGCTCTGATTGATACAGAAAGTTGTTGCAATTTCATCACTTCCAAAGCCATAGAACCCCATAATTAGAAAATTAACATATCTGGACGCTTACCCTCTGCGACGTCTAGACAAAGTGATTGAGGTAATTTCGCAGTACGAAGTCTACAGTACATTAGACCTTTTGTCTGCTTACCACCATGTCCTGATCTCTGCACCCGACAACACCTTTTACAGCATCCGAAGCCTGCGGTGGCCTATCGCATAGCCCTCGGTGCCCCAAACGCTGTAGCATGTTTTCAACTAACTATTAGAATCATTAATTTCAAAAACCTGAAAAGCATGTATGCCTACATAGCCAATGGCAATACCCAAGAGGAACATGACCTCAATCTCGTCGCTTCTAATGGCTAAGAGGTAGTATGGAATCACACCCACAGATAACAAGACCAACACCGCTTTAAGGTTGTAAGGTTCCAAGAAGTGTCATAAGGCCCGACCTTGGACGCATGGAACCAATCCGTCAGCTCATCCTTCCATGTACTACCACCAAAACGCACCACGTCATCGGTATGTTCGCATATTACGCCTATTGGATATCTCAGTTTTTGACAAAATGCTATGCTAATTACAAACGACTATAAAGGGCCTTTGGTTGTTGGAACGGATGCCTCAAATATTGGTAGAGCTACACCCCGTGGGGGCGAGATGGCCCAAGTGGTTAGAGCGCGAATTTACTGACCGGAAGGTTCGCCCCCCCCCCCCCCCCCTCGACTTCCCTTGTCTAGGCTTGGGCAACCTGGCAGTATCCCAGCCCTCGTACATCCTTCAGATGACATGGCAGCTAGGCACCGGAAGGGTGCTACAGCTGAACGCTTTTCCTACCCCCCAGCAAAAACTGTTAAACGATGGCCTTTTTCTCGAAGACGCTCAACTGGAGGAAGAAGAATCATTCTGTCATCAAGGAGGCGTAAAAAATAATCGTTCAGCTATAACACCCTTTCGGTGCGTAACTTATATGCCATCAGAAGGAAGTACGAGGCCTGGGATACTGACAGATTGCCCAAGCCCAGACAGGGGAAATCGAGAGGTAGAGGTCGGGTTCGAACCACGGACCTTACGGTCAGTAAATTCTAACCACTGGGCGTGGGCTATCGTCGAATCCATTAGGAAGCGGCGGCGTCATCTGCTCGGAAGGTCTTCTAAATGGATCACCGACTAGCGTTTGGCAGTGAAACAGTCGGTCACGGTTGCTGAGGTTACATTCGCCAAGCTAATGAATCCATTAGGAAGCGGCGGCGTCATCTGCTCGGAAGGTCTTCTAAATGGATCACCGACTAGCGTTTGGCAGTGAAACAGTCGGTCACGGTTGCTGAGGTTACATTCGCACAAGCTAATGCAAATGGGAATCTGGAAATCTCATCCGAAATTCTAGAACGGCAACGCGTCAGTCCTTACAGGGAAGCCAGACTCAGTAAATCATTATCTTTCTGTGTCGATTCAAGCAATGCGGAGTGAATGTCGTGATCACTATCCGCTTACTATTGTAATCACTCTATATACTTGTACTGTACATTTCAGTTCACCCACGCCTCTTCTTAAACAGGTAAAACGTTGTTTATCGTTGATACCGCGGGCTCTCTCCTAATTCGTTCTGAGACACATTCTAAATGTCTCAGATCGAGCAAAACCTCAGCATCCGGACTGTTCTTAGGGTGGCATGGAAGATAGGCATTGGAAGGGTGTTGAAGCCAAGCTGTAATTTGTTTTACCTCACCCTCGTAGCATCTTAAACTGCTGTTTTTCCAACGAACACCACGGCGCAGCGTCAAAGTTTACATATCGGATGACGACGGGCGGGATGTTGGCTCGGTGAAGTAGGCTAAGATCGCCATTTCCGAGACCAGTCTCGTGGTTATGGTTCGCGGTAAGATCACACGGGAGCCACGACAGGACAAGTCAGAACACACTCAGCAAAGAAAGCATGAACTCTTATTGGTAAGTGGATAAAGTAGTATGCAGATGCACACACACACACACACTCAAAGTACCAGTATCGGACGTGGCGGCCTTTGTAGAAGAGTGAATGGCAGGTACGGAGGCTGCGGCAAATCAGTAAACACACAGGCAAATCTAATATATACTATCAATTTAGATCCAATAAGCGCAGGCAGTTGAAGGGCATTTTAGAAACGGAAGGGCGAAAATGGGTTTGTAGATGTAGCTGCGACTACGGGGATGGGTAGAGGCTGGAAGGCTGCCGGGTGTAAGGCTGGCTTGGCAACCAATTCGGTGGAAAGAGGCAAACTGAGAGGCAAGCAACAGGGTACCAGTTGAGTGAAGGAAAGGGGTAAATGAGCGCCCGAGGGCAGTGTGGAACGGCGCTCAACGGACACAAGTAAAGGCTTGTTGTCCCGTGGGAGGTCTTGCTCGGGAACGGTGGATGGGTGGTCGGTTGGGGGTATTACCATTTATACACAATCTGAGATGCGTCCTGGCAGCTGCTTGTCCAAACCTACCTTGTCCAAACATATGGATTACACTTCACTTCACCAGTTTGAGCGGCAGAATTGCGCACTACATTCGTTCGTTCAACTGTAGCAATCTTTCAGTACCAAAATACCATGCGTCCAGAAGGAAACACGAGGGCTGGGATACTACCAGGTAGCCCAATCCTAGACAGGGAAAGTCAAGAGCCAGAGGTCGGGTTCGAACCACGTATCTTCTGGTCAGTAAATTCACGCTCTAACAACTGAGCTATCTTGCACGACATTCATCTCGGCATGGATGAGCTAGGGCACCGCTGATTGTGTTGATAGGCGTCAAGATGTTTGGAGATGAAACGTCAATGAAGCGGACAGGTTCGAGGCTTAGCGGAGGTGCGGCTGTGGATGTTATCATCTTGAATGTCTAATCGGTGGCAAGTCCGAAGATTCATTGGAACAGGAGAAGGAAAACCCCATCGTTAACGGTGAAGATAACAATGTGAGAAGGGGAAATAATGCAGCATTTGGTTGATGCGGTGGATGGCCTCCTCTGAAGAACCTGAAGGCTCCTTCTACTCGCCGGAGATGGATCGTCCCGACAAGTTCGTTGCTATCTGTAGTGAGGTCAGAGCCTCACGCAAGTGTATTTCTGGCCGTCGTTCAGACCAGGCTAGTACAGCCAGTTTGGTGCATGATGCGAGATTCTCCCTGAAGACTCTAATGCCAGAAGAATACCACAGTAACTGCTACCAGTCAAATTTCAATCGCCATGGGGAGCAATTTGTCCAGAATTTTGGATATGATGCAGCCTATATAAGCATTCAGACCCCTGCCTTCTACAAATCGAGTAACTGATTAGCAGACAGATGTCATGCGCGCCGATACACAGTAGAGTGGATCGGCTACGGACCAAATGACACCGAGCTCTGATTGGTTAGAATACCGGTCAATCACGATCGCGATTTCGTGTTTGGTTATTTTGGTCCCTCAGCAAAAGTTCTAGCTTGGCTTTTTACCTTATCTTGTGCTGTATTTGATAGAGTTATACGTAATAATTTTAGTCCATCCACGCGGTACGTTCGAAATCGGTTTCGTTTTTCCCTCGTGCAAATTCCTGAAAAATTATTTTCGTCGTTCAATCTATTCACAGAGTACACACGAGTAATTGTTGAACTTTAGTACTCTAACAAAACTTCTGAGAGATAACGCTTTATGTTTTGCGCACACTTCCTATTTTTCATCCAGTCCTAAACATGACATCAATTTACACCGATTGCCCTCTGCAGCCACTGATAGACCACAACAGATGTGGGCGAAATGGCGGCCCGTCGAACGTCAAACGCGGTATGCACCCGTTTGTCTGCGCCAGCTGCCTCTACGTCAAGGGTGCGATGCATACCGCAGCGAACAGGAGAGTCCCCCGAAACGGTACCCAATCCCCAATGCAGATTCAGAAAGACCACCGCCAGTGTTCCGCTTTAATCAGGATACTCGACGCGAAATTAGAGCGTCTGTCAAAGGCACTGGAGGGCTCAGACGCTAAGAATGTAACGACCTGGACCGAAGTTGACAAGGAACTTTCCTCGC